CCCCGCAAGGAAATCGAATCCCCCCCAAAGGGGGCACGTTTGTCGACAAAGAGGGCGGGCATCGACTGTTCGGGAGCATGTTGAGTGGCACGCGAACAAATACAAGCGAGCAGTCCCACTGTTGATGAGGGACAACGATAGGGGGATAGGCATATGAGGGGATGCATCGACCTCGAATGGCGGGTACATCGCCCATGCATCATCGATGCATCGTCGATGCAGACCGCCCCATATATCGTCTGTGCATCGTCCTGATATCAACGATGCATCGTTGATGCATCGTCGATGTATCAACCACTCGAGGTCTATGCTTCCCCTTCTATGCCTATCCCCCCCTCGCTGCCCCCGAGTTGATAAGCTCTCATTTCTGACGAGTGGTACGCCTTGTGTTTCTTGAATCGCAAAGTTCCCCCCTCGGCTCTCACACCCTGCCTTTATCAAAAGAGGCCTTCTGGCTCAAGCTGTGCTGCTGGGCCCCCGGCTACGACAACAGCGGCCTCCGCTAACTTGGAAGTCGCGCTCTCGCTCGGGACTTCCTCGCAGTCAGACTCGGGACTCGCGCCCTCGCCCGACACCTCCCTGAAGAACTGCTCTGAGAACCACGCTCCAGCGCCCCGCCCGCGCGACCCGGCCCGGCCGGCGGGCCCCCGCCCGCCCTGCCCCGCCCCGCCCGTTCGGGTCCGCTCGCCCGGGCCCCGACCCGCCCGTGTGCAGATCCCGCACGCGCCCGAGCGGCCCGGCAAGGCCCACCGCGCCCCGCGGCCCGCAAGCCGGCCCGCCAGCTCGGATCAGAGGCCGACAGGAATCGCCCCCACGATAACCACCCCTTGGCACGCGAGGTCGCCGAGCGACCGCGCTCCAAGAGGGAACCACACAGGGCAGGGCCGTTCAGAAAAAACGCCTCTGCGCTGCACTCCCCGGCGCCCCGGGGCGGGATCCTCCTCCTCCTCCTCTCCTCCTCCTCTCCTCCTTCCTTCCTCCTCCTCCTCCTCCTCCTCTACCTCCTCCACCTCCTCCTCCTCCTCCTCCTCCTCCTCCTCCTCCTCCTCCTCCTCCCCCGGGCCGTGTCGTCAACGCCAGCTGTCCTGTCCGGGTGGTTTTTCCTCCCATTGACTGGCGTCCCGTCCGTCCGCCCCGCCCGCCAACGTCCGAACACGCTCCTGAGGGCCTGCCCGCCCGAGCCTGCTGCGTGTTGCCCTGTCGGGGCGTCCCAGGACCCGACGCTGACAAGGCCCCCCCAAAGGGGGTGCGCTCATACACGAAGGGGGCGGGCTGGGAGTCGAGGGCCTGGGGCATGCATGTTGAATCGCGCTCTGTGTGTGTGTGTGTGGATTTTGGCAGAATCCCGAAACGCATGAGCGTGAGTGTGACGCTCAGAAACATGCAGCCGCCGCAGAGGCAGAGATAGGGTGTAGAAGCTCAGTAGCACTTAAAATAATAAGACAATCTTATTCGGGGGGCTCCGAAAACCCGCTCGTCCTGGCCTTGACCTGTCCTGCGGGCTCACCATTTACTTCCGCTGACTTCCGACGGCCTTCCGCCACACCCTCCGAGGGCGAGATGCCAATCGTGTACTTCCTCGAAAGCACAGCACAATCCTTTATGGAGCGCCCCGTATGATGGTGGAGGTGAAGGAGGAGCACCCGTGCGTGAAAGCGCGGGCGCGCACAGCCACCCACTGCTGCTGACGACTGCCTCCCCCACCGAGGCCAAAAAAGGATCGCCGAGATCGGGGCGGGCCGGGGCCTCTGCAGCTTGCGAGTGCCCCTCGCTACCACGCAGCACTGACCCGAGGGGTCGGCCCGTGAAAGGGGGCGCGGGTCGTGCCCGAGACGCGCCGCGGATCTTAGAGCACAGATTGGAATGCGCGGAAAAGTGTTTCTGGAAGTACGCAAAATCATTCAGAGGTAAAGGTTCCATCGCTGCCAAGATGCGTGCGTGGTCTGCTGCCCCCTCAGCTTCGGCAGTTTACGGCTCTTGCTCGTGGCATCTGTGCAAACATGTTCTGTTGCGAGCACGGCGGTGGGAAAACAACTTCTTAAGAAAAGCCTTGAACTTGAAGCGCCGGCCGGACGAGGGTCAAGCACAGTACATGTTACGCACATCTCGACGGATACAACGTTTCTTTCGGATCACGGGCAATGTACATGTGCACTTGCGTTTGTTACGGGAGGTTTTCAAGCACGCGTGGAGAGAGCGCGGACTGCGAGATAGACATCTCCCAAACTATTTGGAGATGGCTCGCTCCTTCCGGACTCGGCAGTGGTGGACAACAGCGTTGGCGACGCAGTCATCCTACAAGCGACGTCGGGATGGGCACGTGCACGCGGGGATGGGGCACCGGACAGAATGGGAAGATATTTTCGTCGACGCTTTCGGGGTAGATTGGCGAGCAAAGCGGGATACGTGTACAACGCTTGCCGAGTGGATGCGGCTCTACCCAGATTTTGAAGCCCAGACCTGCGACCGCTGGAACCTGTACAGGCCGAGGGAGCAGGAGGAGGACGACGAACGGCACGTAGGGCCACCGCCTGCGCGCCGATCCCGGACAAATAACCACAGCCTCGACGATCTGCCGGCCACGCATGGCGAGGGCGCTCCGGAGATGCAGTGGGCCGGGCCCTAGCGACACTTCTGCTTTGTCACTGATTGCGAGCCCCTAGCGAACGTCATCAACGGCGAAACGGTCTTGCTCAATCCTGACCTTCTTCCGCTCTTCACCCGCGTGTCCGACAAATTATTCGGTCTGGTGGAAAATGGTTGGATGACGAGCCAGCCGGAACTGAACCCTGTGCAGTGGCGCCGGCGATGCTTCAATAGAATCGCCGACCACATTGCGAACTACACAATGGATATCCAGCGGTCATGGTGTCAGAAGTTTACACCTCCTGTGGACAACGTGTCTGTGCAGAAAGCGAACTATGTCATACATACTGACGGGGGGACTCGTGCAAACAAGTGCTCTTCTTCAGCGTGGTATGTCGAAGCCCACGTGCAGCTACCGAGTGGGACTGTATCGTTTCCTATCTGCATGGCAGGACGATTTTTCAGCACACCAATTTCTTCCTTTACTGCCGAGGCCATAGCATTGGAAGAAGCAGTAGACCTGATATGGGAGCTTTTGAGAACATGATCATGTGATGCTTACCTTGCAACGTCAATAACAGGCCAGTGCAATCGCGCTTCATGCCTCCGGAAAGAAAGACGAAAACATTGACCGAGTCGGGACGTGAACGCCTGGCAAACGTGCGGACCCGGACAAAAATTCGCCGGCCCAACAGGCCAGAGGCGTGCTAAGATCTCCGGTAACTTGTAAACAGTATTTCTGGTTCGCGCGCGCGTGGCGGCCCCTGGGGGTCCCTGGATCAAAAGTACCCCGAGAGGAGCCCGGGACACGCCCGGGACACTCCCCCAGATCCTCCAGGATCGCCCCAAGAGGGCCCCAAGAACGCCCCCAACACAATCCAAGAGAGGTCCGAGACGCCCGAAGATCGCTCCACGGCGCCCAAGATGGCCTCCAGACGGCCCAAGACGTCTCCAAGATGACCCAACAAGCCTCCAAGATGCCCCAAGAGACCTCCAGGAGCACTCCCAAGAGGGCCCCAAGAGGCAAAAATCAATGCTTTTTTCTTAGGTTTTGGACAGATTTGGGCGTTTCAACCTTTTCGGTTCCCCGACGCCCCTAAACGGCTCAAGAGGCCTCCAAGATCGCCCCAAGAGGGCCCAAGAGGCCCTCAAAAGGGCCCCAAGACGGCCCAAGACGGCTCCAAGACGGCCCCAGAGGCCTCCAAGACGGCCCAAGAGGGCCCCAAGAACGCCCCCAACACGGTCCAAGAGAGGTCCGAGACGCCCGAAGATCGCTCCACGACGCCCAAGATGGCCTCCGGACGGCCCAAGACGTCTCCAAGATGGCCCAAGAAGCCTCCAAGATGCCCCAAGAGGCCTCCAAGAGAACTCCCAAGAGGGCCCCAAGAGGCAAAACACCTGTGCTTTTCCTTTGGTTTTGGACAGATTTGGGCGTTTTAACCTTGTCGGTTCCCCGACGCCCCTAAACGGCTCAAGAGGCCTCCAAGATCGCCCCAAGAGGGCCCAAGAGGCCCCCAAGAGGGCCCCAAGACGGCCCAAGACGGCTCCAAGACGGCCCCAGAGGCCTCCAAGAGGCCTCCAGAGGCAGGACGGCCCAAGAGGGCCCCAAGAACGCCCCCAACACGGTCCAAGAGAGGTCCGAGACGCCCGAAGATCGCTCCACGACGCTCAAGATGGCCTCCAGACGGCCCAAGACGTCTCCAAGATGACCCAAGAAGCCTCCAAGATCCCCAGGAGGTCTCCAAGTGCATTCCCAAGAGGGCCCCAAGAGGCAAACAAACAATGTTTTTCATTAGGTTTTGGACAGATTTGGGCGTTTCAACCTTTTCGGTTCCCCGCCGCCCCTAAACGGCTCAAGAGGCCTCCAAGATCGCCCCAAGAGGGCCCAAGAGGCCCCCAAGAGGGCTCCAAGATGGCCCAAGACGGCTCCAGGACGGCCCAAGAGGCCTCCAAGACGGCCCAAGAGGGCCCCAAGAACGCTTCAAGAACGCCCCAAGAGGGGGTTTACGAAACAGAATTTCGAGCTCTCGGCCCTTAGAGGCCCCCAGGAGGCCCCACGACGCCCCCAAAGGCCCCAAGAGGCCCCCAAGAGGCCCTCAAGAGGCCTCAAGAGGCCTTCAAAAGGCCCTCTGGAGGCCTCCAAAAAACCCTCAGGAGGCCCCCAGGACGCCTCCAAGACTCCAGCCAGACGCGACTTGGGAAACGCGGGCCGGGGTGGTCCTCCTCCCCCGCGTTCGGCCTCCAGCCTCGAGCCTCGACCCTCGGCGACGACGACGACGACGCTGGCGGGCGGCGGCGGCGGCGGCGGCGGCGGCGAGAGGAGGATGAATTGTTGGCGGCGGCCATCGCCGCCGCCAACACCTAGAACCCCCATGAAAAAACAACAACAAATTTATCGACAACTACACAGCTCCCGACGCCGCAGCTCCACACTGCAAACGACCACTCGAACAGGCGACCACGGTGCGACATTATGGGCCGGCGGAATGAGCGAAGCGATTAAATAAGAACGACCTGCGAAAGGGGCAGAGATTTCCGCCATGTCTCGGCCCGCGCCACCTCTTCAGAGTTACCTTCGGCGTTGTGTAAGCACTGCAATTCTACGGATGGGACGGCAAGGGCGATGATAACAAAAGGGACGAAGAAACCAGGCTCCACCAATACACAAGATTTGTGAACCGCGGTGGCGCCTTGCAGTAACTGCGCGGCGACTGCCTTCGGCCAGCATGGCACCAACAAATTCCGGTGGGTACCCAACGGGGGTGACTTACCACGGAAGGAGGGGCAGCGGAGAAGGCTGGTGACGGTAGGGATGAGGATGAAAGAGTGGGGAGCGAGAACTAGAGCGGCGAGGGCTGATAACGGGCGGGGATGGGGAGGGTACTGTTGACGAGAAAAATGGACTCTCCAAGCCCAAAAATTCGGTGCACAATTGTCGCCTTGTGGTCTTCCAAGAAACTTAAACTGAGAGCTCGGAAAGCAGACTGGCCAGCGCAAGCTGTGGACTTCGAAAGGCCAGCGCTTGTTTTGGGCCAGCGCCTCTCGTCGTCCAGCACTTCGAATAGTCCGACAGGAGGAAGGATGGCTCTGGCGCTTGCAAATCAGAACAGCGGGGAGAGAGAGAGAGGGGGGAGGAGGAGGAGGAGGAGGAGGAGGAGGAGGAGGAGGAGGAGGAGGAGGAGGAGGAGGAGGAGGAGGAGGCGGAGGAGGAGGAGGAGGGTCGGGTCGGCCATGGATCCATGAGGCTTCGTGCCTAGGCAATCATGATGAGCACGCGCCTTTGTAATTATCTGGACACCATCGGGCACCCTTGCTGAAAAACGCACAACGATGCCTGTCGCTGCGAGCTAGCACCCGTGAGGGAACCAGCACTCGCAGCTGAGCATTGGGGCCTGGCCTGAGTGTAGTACCAAGCGCTGTGCCTGGGCCGCGGCAAGAGAAGCGCCTTGTAGATCCTGGAACCTAGTCCAGCCGGGCCACCGGCGGCGCCGAAGAACAGCGGCGGCAGCAGCCGATCCGGTCATCCTCCTCCTCCTCCGCCACGAAGAAGTGGAGGAACGTGCGCTTGACAGTGGCCTTTAACTGCGACGGCAGCTCCCGCCCACGGAGCGCGGTCACCTTTGGCGCGAATGACTGGGGGTGCGAGATCAACGGGGGGGGGAAGTAGTGCCCTTTTCGGGCCCTAAGAAGGCCCCCCTCTGGGCCTGGAAAGGGCCCTTTTCAGGGGCCCTCAAGGGTCCCTCTTCGGCATCCCTCGCTGCCCCCCATGTACCCAAAGATCCGACGCCGTGATTTTTTCAATGCGGGGTCCCCGGAAAGCTAGTCCTGTTCCCCAGGACCGGTTTCTCATCCCGAGTCGTTTTTTTTTTGACGGTCCCGAAGCCTGGTGAAGGCTCCCAGAGCTAGAAAACACAGACACATTCTCCGTCGTGATTTCTTCATGACTCGAGGGAGTCTGGGTGACGCGCCCCCGAAGCACCTCCCGCAGGCGTGGGGCCGGGACGGCGGTCACGGAGCGGCCGTCGAGGGCCCACGGGGCCAAGCACGGTGCGCGTGGCTGCCGCTCGCGCGGCACGGCCCTCGGCGGGTCGCGCTCCCGCGCGCGCTCCTCGAGGTCGCACCGCGAGCCGTGCTCGTCGTGCTCCGCCTCGCTGCACTTCCAAGGCAGCATCTTGCCCGGGGCGTGGGCGAACTTGCAGGCGTCGCCCTGCCTGCACGTCCCGGTCTTCACGAAGCTCCTGCACGGCCGAGTGTACGAGAAGTCCGGAGCTGTGCGCACGTCGTCGCTCCCGTGCGCAAAGCTGCAGTCTTCCCCTCGGGCGCAGTAGCCCTTCGCATAGTAAGTACACAGGCGCGTCTTGTGCAAGAAGCGAGCCGTCATGACAGCATTGCCTTTGCGGGAAACAGCGGGCGCCATGCTGGGAGTGTGCGGGCGGTCTGGATGCCAATAGCGCAGGTCCTGGCTGGCAGTTTGCTTGGCAATGCGCTGAGGCCCAAATCGCATGATATAGAGCGGTCACTGTCACGATTCGGGTCATTTTGGGATCGCTTCCTTTCTGCATCTCACGGTCCACTGTCTAGAACCACGCGCTTGCTTCGCGCGCGCGCAAGTTCTCTATCGCAGGGCTAGTCAACGTCACAACTCAATGGATTTCTAAACTAAAGTCCGCGATGCAGACTGACTTGGAGCTGTCATAATTTCCGCATTGGCAAGCGCTGCGCGATTGTTGCCTGGCGCGCTTCATTTTTGCGCTGCGAACGCACATGCTTCCATCCATACACCCAGCAGCGCGTACAACAGTACAATCAAGATTGCCAGCATGGACACCAAACTGTGACTTCCTGCGCTCTAGATGTGCGAGCTATATGATGCAAACTACGTGGTGCAAACTATGCGGCGTACTGTACGCCATGTCGTGCAAGTATTGTGGAGTACAGGGCAGTTTCTAATACATAGGATTTTGGTTTACCTATGGGATTTTATTATATGATCAGTTCATGAATAAATTCATGCATGAACTCATCCTTGGTTTTAATGGTAAATCCGTGCGTTTTAATACATGAGCCGCACGCGGAGCATGTATAAAAAGCGGCATCGTAAGTTATGTGGTGCCAATTCGGTGATAAACGTTATGCACGTGATGCACGTCGTGTGGCTCAATATATATATATATATATATATATATATGTGGTGCGAGCTGTGTGGCGCAAACCGTGTAGTGCAGGCTATGCAGTTTGAGCTCTGCGCTGCAAGATACGTGGTGCAAGCTATGCGGTGCAATCGATCTGGAGGAAGCGATGCCGAACACGCAAAGCACAGCATGGACGCTGCCTGCAGACGCCACCAATCACACCAGGCGCACCGAACGTGCTTCCGAGCCGCTCGACGACGCCGCCCGTTCACGGCGCCGCGCCCGGCGGGGCCGCCCGGCGCGGGCACCTGCTCGCAAGCGGGCCTCCCAACGCCCGGCCTGCGCACCCTCCCCGCGGCCGGGGGCCTTCGGGCTGACGCCCGACGCTGACGCGGGGGGCGCCCGGCCTTGAGCCCCCTTCTCCGCCGCATCGTCCAGGAGCTTCATGGCTTCCCCCAATCATTTTTGTACGGCCTCGGAGCCTCTGGATCTTAAGATTTCGCAAGAGCTCGCGCGTAAGTTTTTTTAGCAAATCAGTGTTGCGAAACCATGTGTTTTTGTATGTTTTCTTTGTAAGCTCGATTGCGAAATCCTTCAGACACCGAGCATTTTTGGAGGATTTCGGCATGCGCGCGCGACGGCGCGCGCGCGTGTGCACTTCGTCTCGTTTATTTTTTAAAAATATTTTTTTAAAAGGTATTTAAACATAAAAACGGGATTCGCGACACCGTTTCATGTTAGAACAAGAGATGTCCCCGCGTAGCGTTTTTTTTTTTTTTTTTTTTGTTTTTTTTTATGTTTTTTCCCAACCATCCTGTGGTGTTGGGTCCTCGTTTTGAAGAGACGTCGCCCCGCGTTCCTTCCTTCCTTCCCGCTGCCCCCTCCCTCCTCCAATCTTCATCATCATCGTCATCATCCCCATCATCGTCATCGTCATCATCATCTGTCGTCATCATCATTATCACCACCCATGTCGGCACACCCCTCACACGTTTCGTGACCCCATAGGGAGCTCCCCCGAAGGTCCCAGTGCGTGTGCCCGCATGCGTCCCGCACACTCATTTCGGCACACCCTTCACACGTTTCGTGGCCCCATAGGGAGCTCCACCGAAGGTCCCAGTGGGTGTGCCCGCATGCGTCCCGCACACCCATTTCGGAACACCCCTCACACGTTTCGTGGCCCCATGGGGAGCTCCACCGAAGGCCCCAGTGCTGCCGCCCGCATGCGTCCCGCACACCCAATTCGGCACACCCCTCACACGCTTCGTGGCCCCATAGGGAGCTCCACCGAAGGCCCTGGTGGTGGTGCCCGCATGCGGTCCCCACCCGATTCGGCACACCCTCATGTTACGTTTCTGGCCCCATAGGGGGCTTTACTACCGATGGGTCCCTGTGGGTGTGCCGCATGCTCCCCCGCGCACATTCTCGGCACACCCCTCACACGTTTCGTGGCCCCATAGGGAGCTCCACCGATGGTCCCAGTGGGTGTGCCCGCATGCGTCCCGCACACCCATTTCGGCACCCTCCTCACACGTTTCGTGGCCCCATACGGACCTCAACCGAAGGTCCCAGTGGGTGTGCCCGCTTGCGTCCCGCACACCCATTTCGGCACACCCCTCCACACGTTTCGTTGGCCCCCCCATTGCGAGCTCCACACGTACGTCTCAGGTGGGTGTTGTGCCCGCATGGCGTCCCGCACACCCATTTCGGCCCACCCCTCACAAGTTGCGGGGGTGGCACCTTTAGGGTGCTCCACCGAAATGGTCCCAGTCGGTGTGCCAGCAGCGTCCCGTCGGCCACACAATTTTCGCCACACCCCTCATACGTTTTCGTGGCACCATAGGAGCTCACCGATTCATGGTCCAGTGGGTGTGCCCGCATTTTATGCGTCAGCCACACCCATTTCGGCACGCCCCTCACGCGTTCCGTGGCCCCATAGGGAGCTCCGCCGAAGGTCCCAGTGGGTGTGCCCGAATGCGTCCCGCACACCCATTTCGGCACACCCCTCACACGTTTCGTGGCCCCATAGGGAGCTCCACCGAAGGTCTCAGTGGGTGTGCCCGCATGCGTCCCGCACACCCATTCCGGCACATCCCTCACACGTTTCGTGGCCCCATAGGGAGCTCCACCGAAGGTCCCCGTGGCGCAGTCCACATGCGTCTCCTTTGCCCAGTACAGCGTTACGTGGCCCCATATGGAGCCCCACCGCAGGTCCAGCCAGCCAGCTAGCTCTCTTTGCTCCGCGCAGCGGGCGACCCGCGCGCGTCGCTGGGACTCCTCCGGGGCGACCTGCGCGCGTCGCGGGGGCTCCGTGCTGCGTTCCGCCCAGCGCCTCGCTCGCCCGTCGTCGCTCTGCCCAGCGGCAAGAGACTTGCCCGCTATCAGCCAGCCAGCTAGCTCTCTTCGCTCCGCGCAGTGGACGACCCGCGCGCGTCGCTGGGACCCCTCCGGGGTGACCTGCGCGCGTCGAGGGGGCTCCGCGCTGCGCTGCTCCCGCAGCCTTGGACTTTTGAGTGCGCGGGCAAAGAGGGAGTAAAGGAAGGGGAGGAAGCGGGCGCGATCCTCGCGGGGGGGCGCGCCGACATTGGCGTCGCGGCGCGCGGGCGATGCCGTCGGGGAGTCCCGGGGAAGCTCCTTGCGGCGGCCACGCCCAGCGTCACGAGTATTCAGAGGCAGTCGTTGTCAAACTATTGGCATTCATACACATTTGCACCACGCTTTGTCATATTCGCATTCATGCACGTAGACTCGCTCGCACGCAGATCATTCACAGTCAGACGCACGCGCGAAGATTCACCCGCGCTCAGTCTCCCTACGTACTCAGATCAATCGTTTTCGTTCACTTTGTGTACCACGCCACTCATGTCGGCACGCCCCTAGCACGGTTCGTTGCCTCATAGGGATCGCCACCGAAAAAATGAATCACTATTGCGGTACTCGCACCTGCATATGGTTGGGTCCCTCGTCAGGCTAATTTGTTTTTTCCCAACCATCCTGTGGTGTTGGGTCCTCGTTTTGAAGAGACGTCGCCCCGCGTTCCTTCCTTCCTTCCCGCTGCCCCCTCCCTCCTCCCATCTTCATCATCATCGTCATCATCCCCATCATCGTCATCGTCATCATCATCTGTCGTCATCATCATTATCACCACCATGTCGGCACACCCCTCACACGTTTCGTGACCCCATAGGGAGCTCCACCGAAGGTCCCAGTGCGTGTGCCCGCATGCGTCCCGCACACTCATTTCGGCACACCCTTCACACGTTTCGTGGCCCCATAGGGAGCTCCACCGAAGGTCCCAGTGGGTGTGCCCGCATGCGTCCCGCACACCCATTTCGGCACAACCCTCACACGTTTCGTGGCCCCATAGGGAGCTCCACCGAAGGTCCCAGTGGGTGTGCCCGCATGCGTCCCGCACACCCATTTCGGCACACCCCTCACACGTTTCGTGGCCCCATAGGGAGCTCCACCGAAGGTCCCAGTGGGTGTGCCCGCATGCGTCCCGCACACCCATTTCGGCACACCCTCACACGTTTCGTGGCCCCATAGGGAGCTCCACCGAAGG